GTTCTCCCCTCCCCTAGACTCCTGCCTAGCCTCCTGCCAGATCAAACTGCTCCTTTCTTGGAAAGAGCCCATGACTTTCTGTGACTTCATACCTTTGCATTGTTCCCTCTCCCTGGCCTAGTCTTCTTTTCTTTAAACAATGAATTCCACTCATCTTTCATGAACCAGATTAGGGCCATCATCTCCTTTTCAAATTCTCCCTGACACCTCAGAATAAATGATTCCTTCTTTCTCTCTTCTGACACTTCTATCGTAGGATTTACTGCACTTTGTTGGAATTGTTTGATTTTATTTTTTCACCATTGAACTAGAAGCTGCATTAGGCAGGGTTTTTGTCTGATCTGAATATATTTTTTCTTTAAATTTATAAAATTTTAATTTTTTTCTAGAAATAAAATTTTTAAAAATTCTACCATTTATTATTACCATATGGTATAAAATAAAGGCTGTTTTACACCAAAAGTTGGAAGAATATACCCTCAGGAATCAGTCCAGATGTTTTTCCAAGCAACTTTACTGAAACCATGTAATGGGATGCATTTCTCTTTGAGAAGGTCTATATAATAATTTTCTAGAAAGTATAGTTATTTATACTAATGTTTTTATAACCAAAACATAGTGTCTTTGTGGTTTCAAAGATAACTGTGAAATAAAATTGTTTCACCTGCTTAAAAAATTCAACTAAAACATGTATGAAAATTTGACCACGGTTCTTTTGTTTTAGTTTGTTTGATTTTGTTTAATGTGGACACGTGAAAACCTTGTCTTGGACTAGTGCAGGTTCAGGAACTCCCCACTGGGAACCACTAATTTAATATACTAATTTAGTTTGAACTCAGGTTCAAGAATAATTGAAACGGACTCCAAGAGTTTACTTTTGGAGTTATTTTTGTGATGCATTACTTTTAGCATAGAGCCAGGAACTGAATACCTTTGATAAATATGCATTGCATAAATGAACATGTAAAGAGTGACTACTTACTTAATTCATGTAATTTGTGAGACGATGCGTTTCTACATCAAGATCAAGTTACAGGTAATTATATTCAACTCTATCTTTTGCTTCTATCCTGTCTTCTCCTTTGCTTTCAGTATCTTACTTCATGTTTTCCTCTCTTTTTCCCTTATACTTAATGAATTTTCACAGTGAAAAACTCTTCTTATTTTTTTAACCTAAAAAATATCTACTTTAACAATATTGCAGAATTTTTTGTCTTATGTTCATTTATAACATATTAACAGAGGCTGTTTCATATCTGTTGATGAAAATCAGATTTAAAACAGTCTTATGATATCTAATGAAGTCTTATTTTTTTTATCTACTGTCTTAAAAGTCAGATTTTTACTCCTGTGTTACCTTTATATATGTGACTACATCATATTTGCTATTTTATAGTTATAAGAAAGGAACAGATAGAAATTTCTGACTTCCAAAAGAGAAAGAAAAACACACTTGGACCTTAAAAACAGCTGTAATCCTTATTCTTCTTTGCAATGCCTCGGTTCCTATTGGGGCTATGACAAGAGCAAAGAGAGTTGTATGGTCTCTTCTTGAGTTTATATGTCCCTAAGTGGGGGAAAATAAAGATTTTTTTTAATTTTAATTTTTTTAAAGGATGCTATATAAGCAAATGCATCAAAAGTATTAACCCAGAGTATCAATAAGAATGTTAATGAGATAATTAGTGATAAAAATAAAATTATCAGAATATATTGAGGTATTTTACCAACATACTTAGTTTAACTGAAGTCCATGCACAGTTCAAAAAATCATTTTACACTCTTCTACTGTTATGTGGTTATTATTAGTTGTGAATGGTTCCACAGCCTCACCAAATAAGGAATTTTATCCAGATCAGCTGTGAGCTTCCTCAAAAATGCTTTTTTTACAGAAGGAATATATTTTAAGTTCTTAGTGGTTGTTTTTCAGTGTTTTATATCACTTTTTTGGAATTATAATGATAAGATATGCAAAGTCCACCAAATAATTCAAAATCAAATAAAAGTGGAAAAAAAGAAAAAGTTGTTGCCATGTTTTTCCTTTGGCTCTGAGAAAATGCAGAGGGATCAGGAGCAGCAGCAGAGACCACCAGCGAAGAACAGCTGTCTTGTGAAACAGCAGGAAAGAGTGCTCCAGGAAGGGCAAGGGGAACACCAGAGAGAGGTCTAGAACATGAAAGGGTGTGTGTCTGGAGGGCAAAAGTCAGGATGACTGTGGACTTCTGCAACTGGTCAATAAAATGGCACAGCAATGTAAAATGAGAAAACACTTTAGATATAACAACTTACACCAAACACAGAAATGTCCAAAGAAAATGCAACTTAAAATTAGAATTTCCTAACTAATGTTTTTTCAGTGAATGTAAAAGTCACCGGCCACCAGTATTTCCTTTACATAACATTTTCATGAACATTTGGCAGGCTGCAAAAATGGATTAAATGTATTTATTTCTTATTTCCAATGTTGATGACTGGCAATGTGGACCATATACATCAGACAAAATCCTTGCCTCTGCCCACCACTTAGCAATTGTTTTCATCTCTTTTAAAATGCTGCTCAAAAGCATCTTCTTTCTAATGCCTTCTATGATCACACTTATTCTGCGATGGACAACCTCATCACTTATATCATGTAGCTCTGTCCAGCTGCTTCTGGTTCTGGTTATACACCCAATATATTCCTGTCCCACATATCTGTATGTGTGTTTGAGTCTGGTTTTATCACCTTCCTTGAATTGCACTTTGTCATTGGATCAAGTGGTTTCATGTGACCATATTCTTTGAAGAAACACTTTGTTCAGTGTGTGGTCATATAGTCTTACCTCAGCTTCCACTGCCTTTTAAAATGCAGTTGCGTATTCTCAAGAGCTGGATTTATATATGGCAGAAACAGCTCTTCTGTAGGCAAGTCTTCTCATCCCTTTTCCCTTAAAATACACATAGATATGCACACATTTATATCCATGTTTCATTATTTTCTCCTGTATTTAATAGCAAGCATTTATACAATTTTTTTTAGTAATAATTCACATTTTGTCTCTTCCATGTAGCCTTCCCTGGTTATTGTATCCAACACTATATCTCCCTTCACTCATCCAGTCTGTGGTATGTGCTATACTATTCAGCAATATTCACAATACCTTAATTGTGTAAAGTCAGAAAGGCCTCAGCTCAGAGAGGCCGGAGGACTTCCCGAGGCTCAGAGTCTTTAAATGAGATGATGTGTACAAAGCAGTTAGTTAAAGTAAGTGCTATGAAAGTTAGATATTATTATAGGTAATGGTGGTAATTAGTTCTTACTTAATGATTCATTTAAGATATTTTTATCTCCTTAATTAGACTCTATACTCCTTTAAAGCACTTACTGAATTTTTACTGTCTTGTAGAGCACTTGCAGCTTAGCCAAGGGGACTAAGTATTTGCTAACTGTTTGATTGATGACAGGAAAGCAGAAGACCTGGAAAAGAGTTAGAGGAAATACTAAGAACCAAAAAAATCCTACCAAGGCATAAAGTCTGTATGACTCAGATGTTTATAAGCTGGAATTGGGTGGGAGATGGGAGGCTATTGGAAATAACTTCCCAGAGATAATAGCCTAGAAGAAATCTGAAAAATATATTCTGACAGTTTCTGACCCATATGAGAGTTTTATAAAACAATTAAAAAATTTAAGTGTTATTTAGTCCCAAGATTGTGATGTTTTTATCTTTTGTATCCTTTATATTTTTCCATTTCTCTATTACAAATGGAAGGATGCACAATTATAAAAGATTAAGTATAATCATTTTCTGAAAGGTATAGACTTCATTAAGAGAAAACAATATTAATGGAAACTGCAATGCACAGTTATAGCAAAAAAAAAATCTACAAAATAGATTCTAGGAACATTACAATAAAATGTTAGACAAAGTGGGAACCAGGAAGGGAAATGAGTTTTAACAGAAAGAAAAGTAGTTTACAACCTCCTGTGGCTCAAGGGAGAAAAAGCTCACCCACATTGCTCCCTTTAAGAGTTTTTCCAGGTTTAACTAGCTGTGTGGAGGTTCCCATATGGCTATTAAAGAATTATATTATCAAATAGAAAAATAATAAGTATATTAAAAACAGTATATAATCATGCTATTAGAAGGGAAGGGCCATGTCATGAGTGCATTATATTTAAGGGTTTAGAAGAGTAGGTACTCAATAAACGCCGTGCACAGCTAGGCTTTGAGAGCTTACTTTCTAAATCCAATATATAACTAAATAAATAATGCAGCCTTGATAACCCTCAAAATAGAAAGTAAATGGTCCATTAAGAGAACACATTAAGAGGTCTTATTGACTCGTGCATGGACCCTTCAAGTGCCCATTATTAGCCAAATGCTCCCATCAATAGTATTACCCACACAGAAAACGGTCTTTTTAAAAACACCTTCAGGCCATAAATTCCCATTCTTAGTTAGCTATTGACCAATGTTTCTAATTTGAAGTTTTATAATTTTACAAAAAAAAAGTTACAATTTTTGCCTTAAAGTTGCATTTTTAAATAGTATAGCTTTTTTTAGACAGCAATAACAGTCAACATTTTTAAAAAATGTAAAGCCAGTGTCCAACAGAAAGGTACTTAGGTGGGCCACTGCTCTCCTTCAAGCTATCAGCATGAAAGGAAAAAGCAGTAGGCTTATTCTTTAATTACAAATTACAAATAATAGACAAATCAGCATTCCGAAATAAATCATTCAAATCATTTTCCATAAAATGCCAAGGGTACAAAATAGACTTGATGCCAACTGTATGAGGATGTTGTTATCTCTGCTTTTCGAATGGAGAACCCATTTCATACAGACCTGGAAGAGACACTAATTAATCCAAATGTATTGGTTTTCTAATGGATTCCTGCCCAGGCTGCCTAAATTACATTGTTCTCAACTTCTGGCCACTTAAGCATGCAAGGTTCTTCAGTCTGACACACCTCAAAAGTTAGAGTTAAAACTGCCCACTCAATTGCCACCCTACCTTGGAACTCAAAGCTGCTCTGACTACTCTGGTTCATGAACTCAGACTTTTTGACAGAGTTGCCTCAACTTTTAGCTTAGAACTCTTTCCAAACCTGCTCCTCCTCAGCTCTTGCCGATTAAATTTTATCTCTACCTTTTTGATTTGTGTTTTCTTGAGTTTATTACATTCCAGATATCTTTGCCACCTTTCCATTTGGTATCACTTTCTCCCTCTTCCCCTCATCGGGATTCTTTCTCTTAGTAATAGATTCTCCTTAGTCCCACCCACCCCTGCTTCTGGGGTGTCTCTGCTGTGGCCTGGTGGTTACTGTTATCACGGCGCTAGTGAGACGGCTTCTGGAATGGGCCGACGTTAGCATTCACCAGCTTCATTTTGTATCAGCAGATAATGCTGGCTTGTTTTTCCTGCAGAAAGGAGATAAATGTAATACACATTTAATTTGAGAAGGGTTAAGTCATCACATAAGTCATTATTCAGATATAGCTGCTCAACAATTTATACATCTGGGGATGAACTGAGTATGTGTCATGTGGAATCTGTTTGACACAAACTTTAATCTCTAAAACATTTGTGAGGAGAAAGTTGATAACATCCTTTCCTTTTGCTGAAAGGGCAAGGTTAACTGAAGGTTGTATGAAGAGGGATGGGGAAAACATCTAAAAGAAACATTCAGAGAAGAAGGGAAACGGAAGGAAACAGAAGAAGAGAAGGCAGGAGTGAAAAGGGGAGAAGAGGGCCGGGGAGAAGAGAGGACAGGATGGGAGAGGAAGGGAGGGGAGGGGAAGGAAAATGGGAATAGCTTTAGTTTCTAACTAGTACCATGGTTAGAATACAATAGTCGTGGTATAGGGTATATGACAAACAGATGGAAATTCCTATTTTATAGAAGCAGCACTGGAGAAGAGCCTGGATAAAAGGTCCATGACATGTATCTCCTTCCTCCTTTCTGCGGCACAGTTTTTGGCAGATGCTCCGCAGTAATCCTTCCTTCCCTTTGTTTATAATCCCCCAGGAATACCGTCACTATTAACCCAT